TAAATTCGTGAAAGATTATCGTGAAGAGAGTGACTCTAGGGCTGTCAATAAGAAAACCAAATCTGTTAGATGCCATGAGTGTCAGGGTTACGGTCATTATAGGAATAAATGTCCTAATTTGAAAAAAAGTTCAAATAAATGTAGACGTAAAGCTTTAGTAGTGACCTTGAGTGATGATGAATCAGATTATAGTGCTTAGAGTGATACTTCTGGTGGTGAAGATAATCAAAAGTTCATGACCTTCACTTCTATAGCTACTATAGTATCTGATAAGGATATTGAGAAGATTGAAACTAATGAATATAATGAAAATTTTGAGGAAGAATCTGAGGATGAACCTAATATGCACAAATCTTATCGTGAACTGTTTGAGGAGAGTCTTAAAATTAAAAAGGTTAACGAACTTGAAATAGAAAAAGAGAAACTCATAGGTGACCTTCATGACTCTACTAAAAGATTGAGTGAGTTGAAGCTTGTTAACGAGAATTTGGTAGCCACAATTAAATAATTAACAAGTGATCTTGAAAAATCCAATACTCAACTCCAATTATTCATGAGTAGCATACAGAAACTTGATAATCTATTGGGGATGAACAAGCCTGCTCGAGATAGGTACAGTCTGGGTTATGTTCATAATGGTAATACTACTGTCAGAACATTTAAGACCATGTTCGTTCTGCCACCAACAAAGCCCAAAAAATTGTTTACCCTGAACCAAAGGGTAAAAATGACTTAGAATCGAGACCTACTAGACTTATCGGCAACAACCATCAAACAGGGTTGAATCTAGGTTTATTCCCACATGTCACCATTGTGGTGCACTCGAACACACAAGACCTAGGTGTTGTAAACTCATGACTAGAAGTAAAAGTCAGGATGTCTCGAGCACGGTTAACTTCGTTGCTAATCAGGTTAGCCACTTAACTGAGATGAAGACTCAGTTAACTAAAATCACTTTTGCTTCCAAGCAAGCTTGGGATGAGAAAAGTGATCTGGAAGGTCGTGAGTTTGATCATGCTCTTAAAGGTAAGATCATCCATTGTTTTTCGTGGTTAGTTCCTTAGATGTTTTATTTCGG